CCGCCGCTCTCGCCGCCCTTGCCCGCGTTCTTGCCCTTGCCCTCGCGCTGGTCTGTGCTGGCAGGCGGGCCACGAGCCTGCATCACCACGGGCAGCTCGTCGGCCCAAGCGTCGTCCTCCAGCATCGGCTGAGGCGGGGCGCCAGCCCCCGTGGCCACCTCGCCCGCCGACCCCTTGTCGATGTCCATGCCGTCAGCGACGATGTAGTGCTTGCCGTTCTCGTCCCCGCCCTTCGAGCCGCCGCGGCCGCGGGGCCGCCGCCTCCTGCGCGAGGAAGCCGCTGGATCCGCCAGGGGCGCCGCGACGAGCGCGGGGGAGGAGGGCGTGGCGAGCACAGCCACCGCCGTGCGCAGCAGGCCTTCGGCGGCGCGGATGAGGCGTACCGCCTCCCGCTGGCCGCTCGCAAGCCCAGCCGCCGCGTGCGTCGCCAGCACTGCGCCGCGCGCAGCGTCCAGCGTCGCCTTCGCGGAGCGGGCGTCGGTCGTCGGCGGCATCGGCGAGGCGGCGGGTCGGCGGGGCGACCCAGCGGCGGCGGCGCGTGAGCCAGAATGCAACTAGGAGGAGGAGGAGGAGGAGGAGGAGGAGGAGGAGGAGGAGGAGGAGGAGGAGGAGGGGGAGGAGGAGGAGGGAGGAGGGGAGGAGGAGGAGGAGGAGGAGGAGGAGGAGGAGGAGGACGGAGGAGGAGGAGGAGGAGGAGGAGGAGAGGAGGAGGAGGAGGAGAGGAGGAGGAGGAGGAGGGGGAGGATGATGAGGAGCAGGAGGAGGACTGAGTAGGACGAGGACGAGGACAGGAAGAAGGAGAAGAAGAGAAGGAGGGGGGGAGGGGGAGGGGGAGGAGGGAGGAGGGGGGGGGAGGGGGGGGAGGGGGAGGAGGAGGAGGAGGAGGGGAGGAGGAGGAGGAGGAGGAGGGAGGAGGTGAGGAGGAGGGGAGGGGGAGGAGGGGGAGGAGGAGGAGGAGACCTGCAAACCTAAGACGTATCAACGATGTTGCTACAAAACCTCCCTCCAAGTTCCCACTTCACAGGTCCGTACAAGAGAGGGACGGAGGGAGGGAGGGAGGAAGGTCAACAATGTTGGAATAAACCCTCTCTTGAAGTTCCCACTTCATGTCCCTACAAGAACTTGTTATCGTGTCGGGAAGTGCGCAATTGAAAGACAACTGTCTGAGAACCCTCTATCGTGCCAAAACACCACTCCTGAAGCGTCACCACCAATAACTAAATAGTGCCAGAACACCATGGCCAGGACTTCAATACCGCTAACGTTACTGTTGCGTTCGGACGGTCCTAGATCGTGCCAGAAGACCATTCCTGGAACTTCTACCCTACGAATTCTCGAAACTGCTGCAAAGTTTGAAAACTAATGCGCGCGGCGCTCAGGCGAAAGCCACATGCAACTGCTGCACACTTGTACGACGAATGCGCGCGACGACGTGACAGCCACGTTCTGATATCCAACCGCCCTCCATCTGCGAAGCTGCTGCAAACTTTTAAAACGAATGCGCGCGGCGCTGAGGCGATACGAATTTGCTGAACAGGACCACCCTCCATGTTTGAAACTGGTGCAACATGTTGACACGCATGCGCTGCGCTAGGGCGAGTGCCACATTTTGAATGGAAACTACTCGTCTTCCATCCTTGAAACTGTTGATTTGTTGTTCAACGAATATGCGCGGCGCGCAAGCGGGAGCCACATTTTAAAAACCAACAACCCTGCATCCGTGAAAATGTTCCAAACTTCAGCCTTCAAGGTCAGAAAAGGTGAGGAACTCTCAGGCGAAACGCCCGGCCCGGCCCGCCCTTCTGACACGACCGGGAAAGCGACAGGGATAAATTACGCAAACGGGAAAATCGATGGAGGAGAAGGGAGGAGGGAAGGCAAGACCAGAAGGACGGGGAAGGGAGGGAGGGGGGAAGGAGGAAAGGAGGGAGGGAGGAGGAAGAGTTCAGGTCAGCTCAGGCAGCAGATACAACTCTAGCCCAGGAGGAGGAGGAGGAGGAGGAGGAGGAGGACGACGGAGAAGGGAGGAACGAGGACGGAGAGGGAGGGAGGGAGGGAGAAGAGGAGGGGAGGGAGACGGAGAGAGGGAGACGGAGGGAGGGAAAGAGGGGAGATCTAGATATGGCAACAGCGCCCGGGGAAACCACCAAGATCAGGGCGTGGCGGCGAGCAACAACAAAAAGAACAGCTCCGACGGCGGCCGGGTCCCCCGCGCGGAGCCGCACGCAGCGGGAGGGGGGCCGTAGGTGTAGCCGTGGCCGAAGAAGTACTTCGAGCGGAACGGCGTCACGTCCACCTGCGACGGGCCCAGATACTCCAGATCTCGTAATAAAAGGGAGGGGGTCTGGACCCTCCAAGACAAGCCATTTCAGACCTCCCCCGTGGGAGAACCCTCCAAAACATCGTCCCCAGACCCCCCCAGGCCCTCCAAGATAGCCTGGAAGAGACCCCCCCCGAAATGAGACCCCCTCCCTTGTATTACGACATCCGGAGTATCCGAGGGTGTAACGTCCTCCGCGCGGGGTCTGAGCCCCGAGGGGTCGCTCTTCCATCCCCCTGGGCTATTACACAAAAAGCGGGTCCGGGTCGGGGGAGGGGTTCGGGAGCTCTCGGGGGCCAGACATCGGGCCAGAGGATGTCTGGGAAGCCCATCCTCGCTGGCAGCACCGCCCCGCTGGAGGACGGGCGCCGTCGCCCGCGCTACTGCCCTTGACTCAACAAAGGGGGCGGGAGGGGGGGCAGGAGCAAAGGGAGCAGCGGCAGCAGACGGGGGGGGGGGGGGGCGAAGGGGAGGGGCAGCAGAGGCGGGAGGGCTGCGAGAGGGGCAGGGGAGCAGCACCGTGGGAGGCGATGGGGGGGCCCAGGCCTTCGACGTCGCGCTTCTGCTCACGGCGTGAACCTCCACGAGTCTACGTGTAGACCCTCTCCCCCGGACTGGCTCGTCATTCCGAGCCGTTCTCGCCACGGCCCCCGGGGGGCCCGGCGCGGGCCCCCGAGAGCAGAGCCTTGCCAGAACCCTCGCCTCGGAAACGGCGGGCGTCCTCGCCTCGGTGCCCGCGCGCCTCCGCCCACGGCCCCCGACGGGACCCCTTCTCTTCGCTGACCCCTTGCCTGACCCCCGGGCCCCCTGGGGCCGAGATACCTGGGCGCAAGGGGGGGGGGGAACGGAGGGGAGGGGAGGGTGGGAGGGGATGAGAGGGTGGGAAGGAGAGGGGAGGGGAGGGGAGGGAAGGGGGGGGATAGGGAGGGTGGGAGGGGAGGCAAGGGGGGCAACCTAGGTGCGCTCGCGTCATACCCGTCGGCATACCCCTCCCTCCCAACCCTTCCGATGGCGCAGATCTATGCGCACAGGCTGATGTCAGGCAAGGCAATGATTCCGAGTGGGTTTGCGATGCATGGTAAAGCACGGCGTAGCGCGGTGTAGAAGAGCGCGGCAGAGCAAAGCATGTCACAGCATGGCTTGGCAATGCGTCGTGTAACATTGCATCACATTGCGTAACATCGCAAATAATGGCATCGCACAGCGGAGCACAACGCAACATCGCAGTGCATGCCATGGCATGGCACTGGATGCCTTGGAGGGTAAATGGTCCGTGCACGAAAGGCGAAGGCCTGTTCGGAATTCCGGCTCCATGTCCTGCGCAACCGTGCGCCCGATGTGGGCGGTTTCGAATGCCAAGGCACCCCCCTTCCTTTCGACACGCTGCCTTGCGTTCCCCGAGCCCCTTTCCAAGTCGCCCTGGGCTTCTCAGACAGCCCTGCACGAGGCGTGGCGGATGGCCCGAAGACTTCTGGAAGCTCCAGGGAACGTACAGAAATTGCCGACGACGCCGACGACGACGGCGGCGGCGGGGAAAGCTGCGGCGGGCGAGGACGTATGTCAGGGAATAGTACGGCGGGCTGCCAGGTTCGATGGTCTGGCTTCCTTGAACAATCGGCTCACACTGGGCCCCTGGACCCCTCACGGGATCAGGTCGGATCAGCATATTCCAGCCGGATCGTTTTCTCTAAGGTCCCCGGGGGGGCTTTTACGGTCCATAAATTCAACGAACCGACACCGAATGTGCAATCACTTCCGATGGCTTCTTCGGGAGGGAAGTCTTAGATTTGGGTGCCTATTTGGAAAGACCAAAAACCATGCCGTGGCATGGCGCTGGAAATAATGACGCCAGCGCTGCAGCGGGAGCACGATTCGGAACGAGCGGAGGGAATGAGGCCAGCGCTGTACTGGAAAAGAACGCGATTCGCAGGACGCGTAGCCTGACATAGCATGACGTGGCGAAGTCCCAAAGTGTGGGGGGGAGCTTCTACGGCCCCAAAAAATCAGCACCGAATGTGGAATCACTTCCGATGGTTTTACGGGGGGCAATGTTCTATATTGCTGGGCCTATTTGGAAGGACCGAAAACCATGCCGTGGCATGGCGCTGGAAATGACGACGCCAGCGCTGCAGCGGGAGCACGATTCGAAACGAGCGGAAGCGCGGAAATGAGGCCAGCGCTGCAGCGGTAGCACGATTCGGAACGAGCGGTAGCCCGAAAATGATGCCAGCGCTTCAGCGAGAGCAGCATTTTGAACAAAAAACCAGCGAAAACCCATTTCCCGGGATTCCTGTGTAGAAACCTATACGCGGATGGGGGGTTGGGGCATCTCCCGGACGTCACCAGGCGAGAGAAGAGAGTACTAGTCATATTGAATTAGTGTGAAGGGAGGGGAGGGGAGGGGAGGGGAGGGGAGGGGAGGGGAGGGACAAGGGGGAGGGGGCGGCGGCGGAACCCAGTACCAAGTTTCGATCGACACGCTGTGGTCCTCCAGGGGCGGGTTCGCTCTCAAGGCCCTTGCGGGCCCGAGGGGGCAGGAAGGCCAGCCCACGCCCCACGGGGTCAAGGGGCGAGGGCGGAGGGGGGAGGGAGGAGGGGAGGAGGGGGGGGGAGAACGAGAAAGGAGGAGCGCAACAGTTCGGACGGCAGTTCGTCCAGGCGTGGTGGGCCGTACTGCCGCTCAGGCCTCCCTCGCATGGGCGGGAGGTGCCGAAGAAGGTACGGGAGTGAGAACACCCGACCCCTGGCGCGGTTTGTGAAACACCGCAGCTGGAAAACAAGGCGGGTTTGCGGCGATCAAGGAACGGCACACCCCGCCTGCACACCCAAGCAAAAGGCACAAACTTCATGCTCGCGATGGGCATCCGCGCCTCGGTACCTCAGTGAGCCAAGGCGCCTCCCTGGGGCATCCCCCTCAGCGGCCCAGTGCTAGGAATGTGGAACAGTTGCCAGCAGCTCGCGCAGCGCACCCCTCCTGAAGCCTCCTGGGGCCCTCCGGGGCCGTCGTGGGTCCACCTGGGGTCGCCCGGGGCCCTCCTGGGGCCCTCCTGGGGCGCTCGGGACTCGGCTTCCCCGGCCGCACCCGAAATTGTACCGTATCAGTTTGCTGAGCATTTCCTTGAGGTGGAGGGCTCAGGGTGAAATCCAGATGGGCGTATGCACCTCGGCAATCAATCCGTCTTGTGATTCACCTGTTGAATGTTCAGGCCTCGAAAATCCATCGAAACGGCATTTCAGATTTCACCCTTTGCCCTCCACCCAAAGAAAATGCTCGGCATTGTACTAGCACACCTGGATCCCGAGAGCCTGGGCGCTGCTGCTGCGGCCGCCGCCCCCGGACACGGGGGCGGGGCAGGCGCGCGAGCCCGAGGGCCGACGCCGCGAAGGAATGGCGGCGGGGCGGCAAATCACGACCGGAGCCCGAGCCGCACCGCTCTGCAGAAGCCCCGCGGGGCCCGAGGTGGACCAGAGACGCCCCGGCGCGGCAGAGTCGCAGCGCCTGGGGGGGGGGGGGGGGCGCCCGGGGCGCCACCTGCGGCAGGAGGGGTAGCAAGAGGAGAGGAAGCAGCAGGAGGAGGCGGCGAAGGAGGAGGAGACAGGAGGACCAAAGGGAGGAGGAGGAGGAGGAGGAGGAGGAGGAGGTGGAGAAGTAGGAGGAGGAGGAGGAGGAGGGAGGAGAAAGAAGGAGGGAGGAGGAGGAGGAGGAGGAGGAGGAGGAGGAGGAGAGGGGAAAGGGAGGACGAGCAGGGAGGAGGAGGAGGAAAGAGAGGAGGAGGAAAGAGAGGAGGAGGAGAACGAGGAGGAGGAGAACGATGAGGAGGCATGAGGAGGAGGAAAGAGAGGAGGAGGAGGGGGGCGGAACCACGAGGAAGGGGGCGCCAGGGCTTCCCGCCGTGTGCTCGCCCCCCAGCTCGCCGTTGCCGCCCTTCGCGCACGTGTCCTCGGCCAGGCGGGTCCGCCGGCCGCGGGTCGGCCGTGCGGCGCCCTCGAGGCGGTCGGCGGCGTGCCTCTCGGCGGCCCTCCGAGGCGGCGGCGCGTCCGCGCGAGCGGCTGGGCGGCGGCGCCTAACACGGGCGCCCACGGGCCCACAAGGTCTCTTTAGCTCCTCCTCCTCCTCCTCCTCCTCCTCCTCACTCTCCTCCTCCTCTCCTCCTCCTCCTTCCTCCTCCTCCCTACCCTGCCCCAGCTTGGTTCTCCTCCTCCTTTCCTCCCCCTCTCTCCCCTCCTCCTCCTATCATCATCATCATCATCATCATCATCATCATATCATTCATCATCATCATCATCATCATCATCATCATCATCCATCATCATCATCCATCAGCAAGCAGCAGCAGCAGCATCATCATCATCATCATCATCATCATCATCATCATCATCATCATCATCATCATCATCATCATCATCATCATCATCATCATCATCTGCCTCCTCTTCCTCCTCCTCCTCAGATCGCCGCGCCGAGATGCTCCTCCTCCTCCTCCTCCTCCTCCGCCTCCTCCTCGTCCTCCGATTCCTGATGTTATTCCGTGTCCTCCTCCTCCTCCTCCTCCTCCTCCTCGTCCTCGTCCTCCTCCTCCTCCTCCTCCTCCTCATCCTCCTCATTACTCTCCTATGTGTTAGCTCTCCTGGAGTCCCCTTGGGCCACGCTCAACATCTCTTGGAGCCACACATGCAAGAAGTACTCCACCATCTTCGCTGTGGGAAGATGGTTCACGCAACGCTGCAGCTTCCAGAATCCCGTCGAGGCGTCCTGGCTCAGATTGGAAGCATTCTGGGGCCCTCTTGGCGCTATCTTGGGGCCCTCCTGGAGACCCGGTTGAGCCGTCGTACACCCTTCGTGAAGCCCAAAGGGCAAGCTTACGGAAATGCCCGCGAGACGTCCGCCGCTCGACGACGGCGAGCGCTTCTCCGCCTCAGACCGCCCGTGCATTTCGAATCGAAACGAGAATCGTTTCGCACTTCCTTTTATACGAGCGGTAGTTTGTAACGCAGGGGGCTCGCCCTGCCGTGTCGAGGTCCAGCGCTTGCTACTGAAGAGCATCGCGCACCCTGCAGGGTTCGAGAGCAGCGCGCAACATTCGCCCGCGATGCCCGACACCTGCTGCGGGAGGCAGAGTGAAGGGGGGATGGGGATGAGGAGGATGAGGGCCAGGGGGAGAGGGGGCCCGTAATCGTGA